TTGACCTGACCTACGGCCACCGTTCCAATACAGATTAATTCCATAGGTCAAGGGTCCACCGTACCACTTCTTGCCAAAGAGTATGCATAAACTAGAAGCTGAGTCATATACAAGATTAATGGAAGTCCTTTTCAGACACCTCATCTTTCAGTTGAGGTTTGTATTTATTCTGTAGATACCTCTGATACATTAAACAGCCAACTACAGTACATGCTAATGACTAGTGATGAACGAGTAACAAGATTGTTCAAAGGTTTTTACCCCACAATTACCAATGAGTAATGAACTGTACTTACAAAAGGCAGATTTTCTACTTTTCCAACAGTGGTATCTATTATTGCTGCAAGCCTGTTCACTAGCTCGTTTCCATTCTACTGCTTTTACTAGCACCTCTGTGTTTATGCTCCAGCTGTTTGTCTGCCACTTAACATCCTATTGTCTTTTTCTCCTTTCAAGTTCCAGAAGCATCCTCTATAAGAACGTATGCTATTTAGCTCAGTACTCAAACTCATACAGGAATATGGTACCAGTTTTATGTATACATATACAGTACTGTACACCAATGAGAGTAGACAAACCCATTCTTCTAGCACTTAAGTGCTTAACATTTCATGCACAGAAAACAAAAAAAATGGATAAAAGAAAATTAGCAATGAACTTTTTAAAGAAATGGAAGCTAACAAAAAAGGCCATGGTAGAGCAAAAGCTTTTATTTCATTAGAAGGAAGTCGCAGCAGTTGGTGAGCAGGTAATAAGAACAACAGCAGAGTTGTCAGTCAGACTCAAGGTATTCTTGGGAGTCTCTTCCTAGCCCATAAACAGTGATTTTTTAAAAAAATCTTAACTGGGAGTAGAAGGTTTATGGAAGTAAACTGGTACTTTCACATACATACAGCTTGTTAGTTTGAATGTGCTGTGGATACCAAGAAACATTAATCAAAGCATAAGGTTAACACCTAAACAGCAGTTAACAGGAAAAATGATTGTATAACCCATGAGAAATTGTAGGATATGACTGACAGACTGAAGAGTTTCATTTTGGTAAATTAATTATCTTAAGTTTGTTTTGTTTTTAAAGAGGAGCTTTAAAAAGCATCTATGTTATTGTTCCAATCTCTTAAGAATTTGATTTCCTACAACCATAATCAATTTTTTTAAAAAAAATCCAGTATAATCCAGTGCATTTATTTCTCACAATGTATATGGATGTTTCCATTTTTATTTCACACATACAAGTCTATGACAGTTATCTATTACTAGAAGAAAAACACAGCCAAAGTGAAGAAGAACATATGAGGAAACTGCCAGCCTTCATCACTGTTGAAAAATAAAGCTAGCTGAGCACTTCCAATTGTAGGAAGCAAACATTCTCTTAGCAACCAATCAAAATCATCCAGAGGTGCAGACAGCTACCAATATATCCCCTTTTTCTGTAAGCAACTAAACTAGAGACAGAAATTTACAAGCATTTCATATAGCTGAGGGGAATTTACCATAAGTGTACATATTTGCATCTAATAGCAGCTTCAGGTATATAATTTGCTACACTGCATATTAGATAAACAATTCAATACAATGCTCAGGACATTAATATTTATAATGGAGTGTGGACATGAATTGGAAAAAAACACTCCAGCCTTTTGAGCTCTTTGCCATTAGCACAAACACGTAATCTGACCCATGGTGCCATATTCCTCACATAACTATTACTGGTACAGTGTGAAAAGAATTAAACATCCAGCTTAAAAATACATGCCCTTATTGCTGCTATAACTGCAGAAGGATGTAAAACCAGTACTTTTATTATTCTCTTGTGCAAAACAACCAGAGCTTCAAACACCTCTGGAACTTTCATGTCAACTAATAATTATAATGTAGCCACTTCAATCCACAGTGGCAACATAGTGGAAAATGAAAAGGACAAAATTATCTTCCAGCTGCCTTCATTCTTTTACTAAAAGGGGACTCAACATCAGGGATAGGAGTAAATCGAGAGTCAGTTATGATTTTATATAAATCTAATAGTTACCAAGGGCTTCTAATGTCATATGGCAAAAAAATGAACTTACAAACTGAAGAGTTCACTACCCCAAGAGTTAAAATACTTCATACTGACCAACCCCCATTCAAAAAGCATACTGTGGGAAAGCTGCAGTTCTCACGTGGCTCCCATTCATATTCAGAACATGAAGTTGACAACTTAAAGCTTTTTTAAAGTTTCTATTATAAACAAAAGCTGGAATTTAATCAATGTCCATTTCAGGCAGTTTCTTTTCTGTAGATGTTTGGGTTGCTGATTCAGTATTCTGGTCAGCAGTCTGAGATGCTTTGCTGCCATCACCCTGGCCTTCTACTGGACCATTTTGTTCTGCTGGTTTTTCATCCTCTTTTGGAAGCTCCACCTTGGGTTTTGGCTTGTTCATTATAGGATTACATGTATTTATCAGTTCCTAAAAATGAAAGAGATAAAAATCATTAATACATCAACAAACAAGTATATAGTAATAGATTATTGTCCAGATCATTTCTAAGGAAACAGATAAAAGTATATGTATGTAGAAAAGTGCATTGGGGGGGAGGAGGAATGGCTCTGCCATAAAATTGTATTAACGTGTTATTGGAAAACAGCTCCCTTTTAGGCAGAGCTCACCATTTGCCAGGAAAAGGAGTCAGAATACCAGATGACCATTTCTCTGAAGTATAAAACACACAAACCTTTCATCTTTGAGTCACAGTAACCTCCCCCCATCTAACCATACTTCAAAGGCCCCCTTTGAAGTTACGTGTCACCAGGTTCTCAAGGATCATGTGTGTCCTCTGAGGTTAAGAGGTGGACATAGTAAGTGTTCTTGTGTTCCCTCCTGCCTGCCTTTAAGAACAGGCAGGAGGGAACACAGGACAAAGGGAAGAGTGAAGAAGCCGAGACATGGAGAGCTCTCTTTTCCAGATTGAGGGCTGAGAGAAGCCTCTTCTAACATGGGATGAGATGCATCCTGATTTCAAGTAAGATTAGAGCCACCATGAAAAATAATGGCAGTTACACATAGTTAGAAATACCAGCAATTCAGGCTTGTAGTGCTTGCTTGTAGCTTGCTCTATGCCTTTAACTTCTGTACCTTGAATGCATCCTAAAAGTTTAACCATTGTTTTGCCTTTTCTCTTTAAAGTTATCTTTTAGAATAGACTCCTTGCCTGGGGGACTATTCTTTGCAAAATGTTCCTGGAGACATTAATCCAGCAGCCAGGCCTTTGACTGTGCAATTCTGTTTTTTTCCAGAGAACACATGCAGAGTGCAAAAGATTTCATATCGAGTAAATTAATTTGGAATTGAATTAAATTAAGCTAGCTGAATTTAGAACATGGGAATGGTGTCAGCTAGACAAACAGTTCAGAAGGGGCTATGGAGACAGGGCTTTCCCCTACCTAGTGGTAAGTGCACCAGCTCATTGGAGTGCACCCCTTTGAGCCCCGCCTCACCGTTCACAGCATAGATGAACATACGGAGTCAAAATACCCCATGACCTCTTTAACAACCTTGAAAGGAAATTGTGAGCTTCTTTCATTCAAAAAAATAAAGTATCACCAATATGCAAACATAGGACATCCTCCCCCCTTCACAAATTCAAAAATTATTTACTTTTGTCTTTGCTTCAATATCCTTAGCTGTGACAACTGGATCCAAGGTGAGACTTCGCTTATTTTGAAGATTAAGCTTGTTATTCATCCACTCCATCGCCTCATTTGCACTTTTTTCCACTTTGGCCACTTCTGCAGGGTCCAGGTGGTCATACTGCTCATCCTAACATATTCAGAAAGTAAAATATTAGTTTGTATAACCATGCTGTTCTACACTACTGTGTTTTGGTAAAACAAAAAATTTTCGCCTCAGCTTGATGAAAGGAATTGGGTGAATGAATTCTGGCAGGACATTAAGCAAACTAAAATTCACGGAAGCACACTATCACATGACATTGACTAAAATGGGTTGAATAAACAGAAGGGTAAGTAATAGGACTCTGCTATGGAAGGAGATAACTACAGTTTCCAGCCATACCTGCCCATCACTTGAAAACTGCCCCACACCTTCCTGAAAAGGAACCAATTTGTTTCTTAACTAATGAAAACATCCAATAGAATTTTAAACCTGTCCCAGATAAATGAAACAAAGAGAGACATACAAAAATACCTTTGCTTTAAATGCAAGAACAGCTTTCATAAACTGTTGAATTTGTCTTCCAAGCTCTTCAAAGGCTTTTGGTCTTTCTTCAGATTCTTGGAATCGTGCTTGAATAGGCTGGCCCACAGCCTGAATTTAAGAAACATTTACCAAGACAGAATTAGAACTCTGTATTGCACATCTGAAATGACTTATACACTTGCCTTCCCCAAGAATGCCTCATGGTTGTACTGTGAGGAAATGGGTTTTGTAGTACTTGTTTTTCAGAGTGTGAGACCCGAGGCGAGGCGATTGACGCTCTCGCCAGAGTGTTGTCCTCCCCTAGAAAAGAACAGGAGACCCAGACAGAGACTACAACTCCCCGCGTTGTGGTCAGGCACCAGAGAATAGACACCCGTGAGTTAGAACGGGGTATGACAAGACTCTCTGTGGCCACCCAAACAGGATCGGAAAAGGCGGGAACAGAAGAGAGGAAGACTGTTGGTAGAGGCAGGAAACGGGGATATAAAAAGGGAACGGGATGCCATACCTGGGGGCTGGGAATTGATATGGGTAGAGGATTCCTGGACAGGGAGATGCGAGAAAGTAAGGGTGCCTCAGGAAGAGGCTGATTATAGAAGGAGATGGGGTCTGCCTCCCAAGCCGCCTTATTGGGGGGAGTCCGAAGCCAGAGAGTGGTGGAGGTGCTTGAGAGAAGAGAAAGAGGCAGTGGAAAGAGAAGAACAAGAAAGGTGAGCATGGTGTCTGGAGGAGGCTCGCCGGAGGAGGTATTTATAGGACCTTGGGACCCCTATGCTGAGGGAGTCACCCCCTTCGACCCGGAGGGAGGAGACGAGGAGACCCTTCCCTTGATTGAGGTGGACGTTGACAGCCGGGACCACATAGAGACTAATCCTTTTGTTAAGTGTCCCTGGTATGAATCAGGTTACAACCCGTTCTTACAAGATTTATGGACACCCTCGTTTGACCCGTTGGCAGTGAGAGACAAAACTACAGACAAGTTCAATGTTGATAATTCTTTGTTTAATGTACCAATAAATCCCAGTTCTGGTTTTCCAAAGCCTGAGCATCCTGTGTTTATGTCTAATCAACCTGAGGCCATTCTAGAACCCTCACAAAGAGTCTGCACAGGTGTCATATCTGCCTGGGAAACAGCTTTTTTGTTTCATCTGACAGAAGTCCACTTCAAGGTTGAAGTCCAAGAGTGGTAAATACTGGATTCCATCTTAATCGCTAACCAGTCTGGGAACAAGGGACTGAACTTTGGAAAGTCACAAGTTGGGCGTGGACTTCTGAACAAACAACTCTGCACTGACTGGATACCATCATGCTGCAGATACTTTAAATTATAGAAAGTGGGGCTAACTGTGTGTGTGTTCCAGAAGAAAGGAGGGAGTGACAAGTTTTACAGCCTTCATTGATTGATCAGGAGACTTAGCAATGGTAAGCAACTAGCATGGTAATTAAGTAATACATCCATTATACTCTAGTTACTAGATATTTATTGTTTTATTAGGGAAATGCTTTCAGAAGCTCATCTAATGAACTGCTGAATAGCTCAATGGTTTAAGTCTCTGGCTGCAGAGCCAGAGGTTGGGAATTCAGTTCCTTGCTGTGCCTCCTTGACAAGGGCTGGACTCAATGATCCATCGGATCCCTTGCAGCTCAAAGGGTATCAAAGGTTAATCCTTAAAACCTTGGCATTTTAACAGTACAGTTTGTAACTTTTGAATATCTTATGTTCCACAACTTTTAAATCTTTTAAAAATAAACCTTCTTTCATATTTTACCCAAGTGTGATCCTTGGGGAAACGAGGGCTTGAGTGTCTAAAGGAAGTGCCTTAGCAACAGGGCTATGCTGGCTATTTTTGTTCTTTCAGTGTCCTACCTGGTCAGGCTGCTGTGCAAGGTTTAAAGTACACAGCAAGTAATATTTTGTTCCAAAATAAGGGGATAATTGGAAATCTAGGGTAGAAGCTTGCCCATAGTTGCACATTCACACATCTTCTAGGTTCTGAATTTGGGAACTAAAGTTGGCACCTGCCCCCAGTGGAATAGCATCATTTAAGGAGGAGTCATTCCTGACATGTATCCTACAATAAATCTCCATGACATACCCTTTTTAAACACTGTTGAAACTAACTACTTAGGTCTTTCTGGTATGTAAATCTGGAGCAATTATGTGTACCTGTGGGCAGGCGGACTCTTCTTGTACCCATCAGCTCCTATTAAAATGACCATCTAATCCAGTATCTGCTGGGGATCAGTTCCAAGCCTTTCCCTCCCATGGGTGAGGAACTATAGTTAATAATGAATCCTCTAGTGGTTGAGGTCCCAAAGGAACCAGAGCCCTTGGGCAGCCCCTCACCTGAACTGTCTTCCCCATCCCATGGTTGGTTATTTGCTAGGAAACCCCTCTGTCCGTCTGTCCACCTGCCCTCTCCAGGCATTTTGCTTCTCTAACTCTGGTTGGCAAAAGGACTAAGCGAAGGCTGAGAGCAAGGCCAGGATAAACGCAAAGGGGGCAGTGAGAAGCCCCAAGACAAAGTATGTTCTGGAGGTGCTGCTGAAGAACACTATCAGTTCCCTCTTCTGCTACTTCCATGCCCCATTCCCAAATCAGTTTCTCAAGATAGGCACTCTCAAAGACAACAAGCAAGCAAGCCAGGCATCCTCGTACTTCCGCACCTGCTTCTGTTAACAGACAGGCACCAAAACAAGCACTACCTAAATTGCTACCTTCCCTTCTCCATCCCTCATAAAAAGCCCAAATGAGGGGAAACACCATTGATTCGCCCATTCTGGTAATACATTTTCAAAACACATATTTCTGAGTATTTTTATTTAATATTTTCAGGCAGAAGATAAGTGAAACTGCAGGTATTGATCTTATGGATACAGTAATCCTACTGTACTCACTTTGAAAGCAGCTTTTGACTGCAGCTATAAGGACACAGAATAAAGCACCAGATGTGCTGATGACTCTGCTCAAGCATGCACATCACTGTCCCATTTTCTGGGTGAAATCGTTGGCAGAAATCCCATTGCCCTAAGTTATGCTGCAAACATGGCATAACTTGTGCAACTGTATTTCAACCATTGTGTGCAGATGTCATGTAGAGGTTGTCTACAAGGATCCATTTAACTTAAGGATCAGTTAAATGTGTGAATCTTTCGAAAAGTGCAAAAGCCAGTTGGGCTGAAAAGATATGTGTCACTGGGTGAACAGCATTTGAATTTTACAACATGTAAACCAAATGTGATTAGGGTAGAATGTGATCAATGAAGAACAACCTTCAGAACATGGCCAGAGAGCCTGAAAAACCCACAACAACCATTAGATCCCTTCGCGAAAGCCTTCGTGAATACATTGATCGGGTAGACTTGATTTACATCACAACACACAATGATTTAATTTAATCATGTGATCTTCCCACCACCACCAAAAGCACACTCTAGTTCACTATAGATTGAATACATATTTTTCAAAAGATTGACATAACATTTTATTGGCAGAATGCCTGTTTTTGGCAGTCAAAGACTTCCGCCTCCCATCCCGCAGTCCCCACAGCTTCCCTATAATGAAAGAGATTACACAGGATCCTCAGGACTTTCAGAAGAGCAGTCGGAAATAAATCCTGAAAAATTGCTGATGCTAATGATATCATCAGTCTTACTCAGCATACAACAGGATTTTAATTATTCATTTTATCTATTCTGAATGTAATAGACCATACTCAATCAGGACAACCACACATAATCAGAATATAGATGATCTTACATAGTTCTAACACTCATAATAGTAAATTTACTTTCCTTCGAGAAAGGAAAGGAAATACTAAACCATTCTCCAAGATTCTCCTTTGCAAAATTTCAGGTTTTTAAAATGCCACTTACTTTCAAGTCAGTCAACTTATCAATATAAACTTGTTTTGGCTGGTCTTCACCCTCTTCATACAGCCAGTTTTCTGTATCTTCCAACTTCAGAGTAAAACTATTACGATCCTGGAGAAAAAAAAAGATGAAAGGCTAAACTTTTTTTAAAAGAATGCATTAAAATGTGACCTGTCAGCTTCCAGCCATGAAAAATGCACCACCATGTTGCCCTAGAAACTCTTTAAAAATGAGAACTAAATAGTTAATTAAAATTCATAATCTTCCTGAAAACTTCAAAACAGAACTTGTAAATATGCGTGGTGAAGGCAAAGACTGGGCAGGCAAACTTTGAAGGCCAGGGCATAGTGAGAAATCAACAATGCCACAAAGGGACAAAAAAAGAGGATGGAATTAACTTTCTTCTACTATATAGCTGCACATCTTTAGTATAAAATTAGTGATATGACTATCCATTTTATGTTGGTCACAAGATGAGGAAAATTTTTATTCTCCCTCTCTGTTTCCATTTTCAAGTGTTTGCACGAAGAGCGCACAATTTATTAACATCTCAATTCAAAGTTCTCTGCTCAATGTATTGTGTGAGTGATCACAAGTACTCTGTTTAAGTACTCTAAGAAAAATGGTCTTAATATCCACAGTAATATGTCAGTAGCAACACATACCTCTTCACTAACAAACTTTTCATACAAGCTACACAGCTTGTCTCTCATTTCATAAACATACTCCTCCACTGCATTCTTGGCATCATTCCGTTCCTTCTCCAGTTTATCCTGCATGATCATTTTACCCTGCAGGAAGCATATTCATTACACTTTTGTCTCAATTAAAAAGAGACTGTTACTGTCAAATAGTTATTATACAGCTCCCTCCCATCCAACCCACAACCATCAATAATTTATAAAATCTTTCCCTAGTGGCATTAGTGCTCAAACCAGATTACCTCATTCTCAATAAATAAGTTCAACATATCTTTTCCTATTTGCCACACCAAATGATTCTCAATTGGAAGGTCAAGTGTTGTTGTTTTCACTTTAGCTTTTTTAGCTTGAGGAGGTTGATCTGTTTTCTTCTCTTTTGTTCCAGCTTGAGAAGTCTGCATTAGAACAATGTACAAAAATATTGTGTTTTAGGTAATTGTCTCAAGACCAACAATATTCTTACAATCAAAACAAGTCATGATTTTACTGAAACTCATTTTAAGTTCAGCATCACCAATTTTACTAACAAACCAACCCTAACAATGCTTTCTTTTAAGCAAGATCCACCAACTTCACTGGGACCTATGTCTAAATAAGATGGATTCAAAGAATGTAACACAACTGTATAGAAATTACATTAACATGTAATGCAAATGACAAATGTAATGTACTTAAATCATGTTAATTTAAAGTAATGTACATTTTAATTAAAATTGAAAATATTGGGTGTTCTGCAAGATAGTGAAGCTGTTTGCATTTTGTTTCTATTATTCAGTCTATTCTAGAATGGAATTTTGGTTTGCATACACATTTTTACCTCCATTTCCTCAGACTCAGTCTTGCTCTCAGTTTGTACTTGCTGCTGGTGTTCCTCAATCTTCTGTTGCTCTTCTTGATCTACCTGCATCTTCTGAAATTTAAAAAGTTAGTGTTGCCTGTTTATTAGATACCCCACCTTATTAAATACAAACAACTGTAAGTCAACAAGATTTCTCTCATACTTTGAGTTCATCATTATTACTGTTTTCATATTCCTAAGTGGAAGGGGCCATAAGTGAAAGAAGGTGGGCTTCCAGATCAAATCGATCTCACTATATGTGAAAGCTAGTTAGTACAGCCAGTATCAGTAATATATTGTTGCAACTAGACTAGGGAAAGGACATAGCTATCCACATTCTAGTTACCTCTTCCTCTTTTGCATGCTGATCTGTTTCCATAGGCTCTTCATTCTCTTCTGATTTATGAACTTCCACAAGTGATGCACTTGAAACACTAAAAATGCCATGGATATTTACTCTGACTTTCACTTTGACCTTTGAACTGGATCCATCTGCTTGTGGTGTTACCTTCTGAATTAAAAACTGAGCTAAAGGAAAAAGACAATATTTTAATTAAAGCAAGTAAGTAATGTAAGTTTGAGTTCTTCACAGATACAAATACAGTGGTGCTCGACTTACGAACGCCCCATGCATACTAACATTTCGACTTATGAACAGCTATGTTTGCAAAATTTTGCTTCAACTTGCAAATGGAGCTTCAACTTAGGAATAAGAAAAATGCGGGGAAAGCGGGAAATGGACTTTAGACTGCTTGGTACTGTCTGGTACAGTAATTTTAAAATGTAAAAATTGGTTTAAAAGGTGCTTGGTTTGATTTAAAGCTGCTTTGTTTTAAAGGTATTTTGTTTAAAAGGTGTTCATTCCCTCCCTCCTTTCCTGACCTTTTTTTAACCTAAGTTATTTTAGGTTAAAAAAATATCTCCCCCTAGTGGTAGAGGATGAATTAACTGGTTTTGCATTAGTTCCTATGGGAACTAATGCTCTGCTTACAAACGGCGCCTCTACATACAAACAAAAAACAGCCAGAACGAATTAATCGGTTTTCAATGCATTCCTATGGGAAATGCTGATTTGACTTATGAACTTTTTGACCTATGAACATGTTCTGGAACGGATTAAGTTCATAAGTGAAGGCACCACTGCAGTTCAAATCAGAACTAGCTCTCTTATTATGAATACTGACACTGTTCTCCTTCAATAGTGTTACCATGAGATTTGCTAACTTAAGATAAGATCCTTCATTTTAGCATGTACTGCAGCAAAAATACAAATCTAATAAAACACTGTATTGGTTACTTACTCAACTTATATTTAGTTCAAAGATCAAATCTTTGCCCTTCTCCTTAGCCTGTATCTTTCCATCAATGTAAGACTATAAGAAAACTGGTGCTTACATTAAAAGCATATGTATACGCTATCTGTATGTTTCACGTATAAGTATGCACACTCATCAGTCATCATCTTACACATGTACTTACCTATGGCAGAATTTGGATAAGGCAACTCTTTAGGACAGCTATAATAAGCTTCCAGAGAGAAAGGCTCTTTTCTGTAGAATGTGAGAACCTTGGAGAATGGTGCAGCATGATTCTTTGGGAAAACTTCACAATCACTGCAGAAAAGAATATATATTTTACTTGACCCTGGTTAGTAGTACTGTTCCTGCAATTTTCAAGGTTAATTACTTCTGTGGACCCAGAAAAAAAATCTTGCAAGACAATAAGAGGAATATATAGTACATTTTATAAGTGATTTTAAAACTTTAGTATTCGGGTATGTTGTACACAGCCACATACTGTATGTGCAATTAGCTATGACTGTCAGCAATAATTAGTTCTTAAGTGCTTTTAGTGTATAATACTTTACCTTATTCCTTCTTCTGCCGGGGAATTCCATTTCAAAGAAATGGGATACGGTACCAAATCTGTTATAGAAAATTCTCTCACTTTAAAAGCTGGGGATAGAATAGCACACTGTAAGAAACAAAATATTGGATTAAGTTATGCAAGATCAAAACACATAGCTGCAATGTCAAAAGATTTGTGGTTTTAAAAATACACTGAAGCTGAAACATCAAACACCTTGTGTGATTAACATAAATTGAAGACAATTTAAGAGACATGAATTGTGCCTCAAATTTTGACACCACAAATATTCAAAGCTTAAGTACATACAGATAGATCTGATTCAGAAGCAGCAAATCCTTCTGATTTACTACTACCACCTTTGATTTCTTTCCCCTTGCCCCCAGAGAGGGCACATGGAGATCACAAACACCCACTTCCACTTTTGATAGTTCCCTGTTACATCTGAATCCATCTAAAACAACTTTTAAAGAACATTTTAATCAACATGCTAGAATGAAATTATAGGCTCAGATCTTAGCTTCTTCCCTAGATACAGTTAAACACAAAGGGCAGTTTCCTACATTTGATGGGTAGAGAGATGTATGAGTCAGAGGCCATCTTACATGGTAATAAAGCAAGATATCCCATTACATCCGACCACAAAGATACTTCAAAATAACTTTAGATAACACACACACAGCTTTCTAGATTGAACCTGAAAGCTCTCTCCTTCAGCAAGAGAAAACACATAGCTGCAATGTCAAAAGATTTACATAACCCAGTCCCATGTATGTTTATTTTCACTAGACAGCGATTTTGACAGCTCCCTCCGTGCTCGCAAAACGAGTGTTTTCAGGACCTCAGCTTTGCAAGACAGCTATTTAAACAGCTGATCAGCGGTTCGCAAAGTGGCTTTCCTATGGCTGATCTTCACTAGACAATGACGATTCTTCCCCATTGGAACGCATTAAACAGGTTTCAATGCATTCCAATGGGGAAACGCTTTTCGCTAGACCATGATTTCGCTAAACAGCGATTTCAGTGGAGCGGATTATCATTGTCTAGCGAGGCACCACTGTATTGCATTCAAACCACTAATGGAAACTTACACTGGGTTGTGACTTCCCCACCACCACCTCGTGCTGAGCACTATAATTCCTTGGGGGAAAACTAACCAGGAGCCTTATGCCACAGGTATACAGGGTCACAAATTAACCTACCTCATATCTCCCCCACCCCCCAGTCCCACCTGGTAAGGTATGGAGAACAAAAATATCATTTGTATTTGGGATTTTTTGATTAATCTAAGAACCACATGAGTTCTGTGTAAGTGCTGCAGGCTGTCCACTCATTATACACAAAGCCTGAGCAACAATAAAGGTTTTGCCTGATGCCTAAGACTCAACTATCATGTATGGACCCTCTCTGGAGACAGCATTCCCACATTCAAGGAGGTTTACTTCGAAGTTAGCAGTCACAGAACTTCAGCCTTCAAACAACTCTCAAATAATATACTCCCACTGATTTGACTATGGGAACAGTAAATTAAAAAAAATACAGTAACAATGGATAAAAACGACATATGTGTTTTCTGGTACACAGCCAAATAAACCACATTTTAATTTACATTACATTTTTTAAACAGTTTCCTCAAAGACTCAGATAAAAACCTACAGCCACTGTGAAGCAAATACAATACGTCCTCTACCACTAGGGGGAGAATACTGTAGAAATGAATCCAAGAGGATTAGATATTGTTATGGATATCTAATTATGTATGGTTGTCCTGTTATAGATACAGTGGGTAGTGAGTTACTGCTTTCACATAGCTATTCCTGCACTGTTTGAGTGTTCTAATGAGAACTGAATTCATCAAGACAAACAATGCATTTACTCACATATACTTAATACTACTTCCAAATTCAGCTATACAAAACTTAATTAAATCTTTAATGGAACTAAAATGAAATAAAAACTAAAGAGACCCATATCTTAGCATACAGGCAATTGTTCGCACCTGCAAAGCACAGCCTCGAGTGACAGCTTCATCAGCATTCAAAGTTGTACTGACTTCTTTACCAAAGAATTTACTGACACGCTCCTTTACAGCAGGTATCCTTGTAGTCCCTCCAACAATTTCTACTGCATAGATATCTTCCTTCTTTAACTCTACAAAGAGGACAGAGATTTAAGGAATTCCAAGCATAAATTCTGTTTTCACTTTCAAAACTCTACCCATAGTTGATACATAACAAGCTAGAAACACATAATCTATATTCTCTCTCTCTCTCTCTCTCTCTCTCTCTGGGTGCCGTTTCAGTTGCTGAGGGTGGCTATCATTGTGGCATATCTCTACATATCTCTTGGTGCATGGATTAGTTGCTCTTTATTAAGGCTTTGCCAGTCTCTGATGTTACTCATCCATACAATGTGTTTTCTATCTCTTCAATTTTCCCCTTGTTTACAACTGACAGTAACATTCAATTCTTAAAAAAACCCTCCAGTTTATAAATGTGGGATATTGTGCTTCTGTACATATGACTCAAAAATCCAGTAAATGGCCCCATATTGCTACACAGTATTGTACCTACACTGCCAGCAGAAAAAAAGGGTAACAAGTTTTACATAGCAAAGGACACTCTGAATGTTAATAACACCAGTGGCAGCGGTCAAGATGGCTTATAGGATCACTCCTTGTGCTCACTACCATTCATAAAGTGACACCAACCAAGGAAAAATCCCAGAAGCTGATTTTTTTTTTTCATCAGTTAACCACTTGTCACCCAACACAAAGCAATTTTAGGGCTGTTTTTCAAAAAGCGTTGCATCTACTCTGTCTCCTCAACCTTCACCCCTCTTCAGCTGTCCTTGGCTGCTGTCTCCTTACTCAAAAGTAAACCAGGTGAACCTTTGTTTTCAATTGATCTGTAGCACAGGAGAAGAGGACCCACTTCCCTGGGCCTCTGCCGAGAATTATTTAATTTAGTCCTGACTACCAAAGTCAAAAGTTCAGATCTCCTCCCCTGAGCCTGTAATAATGTTTATGCTTGGAATACTGTATTCATGCTGATAATCAGTTTGTACGGAAAGCCAGAAACTCAGAAGTTTTTTGCCTCTCAATTAAAATTTTTCCCTCCACCCAAGACTGGCTTCCTTCCAAATTTAAAAAAAAAAGGAAAAGGAAAAAAAAGGATTGCAACTGGCCATTCTTTCACTGTAAGCAAGTTTTGTCTTCAAAGTTTTTTTGTGGTGCCCCTATTTTTTGGATTGCCTTATGGAATGCTGAATTGGGCTGTTGCACAAAATCTACTGCTGCATATCTGTGCCGCAATAATTACCATTTTGCCACCGTACATACAGGCTTCATAGCAGAACAAGGGGTAAACATCTTCAAGATCACTAGCTGAATGTACATTGCTGAGGACTATGTAATTCCACTCTCAGCTATACTTCCACAATTTCACTAGCACACAAAAACCTCTATTCACAAAAATGGGCCACTCAAGCTATATTGCTTGCTAGAAAATTACTGAACACATTTACTGTTCTATTAGTTTAGAGGAAGAACATTTAGTGTACATTTTACATACTGTACTTTATAATAATAATTAGTTGCCATAAAGTCAATTATGACTTATGGAGACATTTTTCACTGTTTTCTGGGTACAGAATACACAGAAGTGGTTCACTATTCTTTTTTCTGGGACCATCATTGGACTCTGCAGCTTGCCCTTGGCTGCACAAGCTGACTCTTTCGAAATACACAGTGGGGAACTGAACCCCCCTCAGCCAGATACCTAACTCAGCTTTCTTTATTTTAGCCACTATATAATAGCTTAAATTAAGATATTCTACTTAATGCATACATACTACATTCCAGCTAATAAATCTACACTTACTGGCTTGTTCCAAGACACTTCGAAGTGGTGGTTCTATTCTGGCCAAAAGGTCCTCACACATCTCTAAGAATTTGCTCCTGTGAGTAGGGGAAAAAGAGAATTTGTCTTTTATCGTTAGCTTAAAATAGGAAAGCAATCAGGCAGTCTGTGGTAGTTTCTTAACTCCTCCCTTCCTGTTTGGCCACATTTACTTTAAAATTTAGATTACAATAGGCATCCTTCAGTCTTGAGAGACTATGGTAACATGCTCTGAATAGAGAACTTGGAACAGCATCTAGTGTGGCTGAGAAGGCCAATACGACAGTGACAATCCCTTCCACACTGAATAGAAATACAATCTGGCCCCTGTCCAGCTCCCTGATTTTGCAGGGTTTCAGGTCTGCCTCAGCCTGCTGGACAAGTGTCTTTTCAAATTGGAAGAGGACATGATGCACTGCCTGCCTTCAGGCTGAACACTCAGATGTCAAATTTTCTCATCTGTTGAGGTCCATTCCTAAGGCCTTCAGATCCCGCTTGCAGATACCCTTGTACCACAGCTGTGGTCTCCCTCTACGGTGATTTCCCTGCACTAATTCTCCATAAAGGAGAACTTCTGGAATCCAATCACCAGTCATTCTCACGACATGCCTGAGCCAAAGTAGACATCGCTGTTTCAGTAATGTATACATGCTAAAAATTCCAGCTCCTTCTAGGACTACTCTATTTGGAACTTTGTCCTGCCAGGTGATACCAAAAATGTTTCGGAGACAGCGCATATGGAATGTGTTCAGCTTCCTCTCCTGCTGTGCACAAAGGGTCCAGGACTCACTGCAGTACAGAAGTGTACTCAAGACACAGGCTCTTTAGACCTGGATTTTGGTATATGCCATCAGCTTCTTATTAAGCTATTCTCTCTTTGTGAGTCTAGAGAACATGGTAGCTGCTTTGCCAACACATTTATCCCGCTCAACATCTCGAGAGAGTGTCAGAGATCGTTGAGCCAAGGTACATGAAATCATGAACAACCTCCAGTTCTTGTGTAGAGATGGATGGTAATAGAGGGAGGTGATTCCACGCCCTGGCCCAGTGTTTTCTTAAGGCTGATTGTTAATCCAAAGTCTTGGCAGGCCATGCTAAAGTGATTCATGAGTTGTTGGAAGTCTTCAGCACAATGGGCAACAACAGTTGCATCTTCGGCAAAGACAAAGTCCCACATACATTTCAGCTGGGCTTTGGTCTTCACTCTCAATCTAGAGGGATTAAAGAGCTTTCCATCTGATGTAGTCTGGAGGTAGACACTTTCTATTGCAGTTCTAAAGGCATGCTTCAGCATTATAGCAAAAAAGATCCCAAACAGGGGTTGCACAAGGACATAAATATAAATGGTTTGAACAGAAGATGAAACTATTCCAGTTTTGTCCCCTAAACACAGCTAACTGGTCTCTCTTCTCCATCAACCCTTGGATCTCAATTTAAAAGACTAAATTTAAAATACTTTGCAAATACTGTCTGAAATCCAGTAGTAATTCACACATAGAACAAATCCTGCCAAACTAATTTGATCTCGTTTTTTGATCAGGTAACCTCCTTGATAGACAGAAGGAATGCTGCAGACATAGTATATCTTGACTTCAGTAAAGCTTTTGACAAAGTGCCCCATGATATCTTGATTAGCAAGCTAATTAGGTTTGGGCTGTATAGATAAAATGTCAGGTGGATACACAACTGGCTACAAAATCATACTCAGAGGGTGATGATTAATGGGTCCTTCTCTAACTGGGAGGAGGTAACAAGTGGGGTACCCTAAAGCTCAATCCTGGGCCCAGTGCTCTTTAATATTTTTATTAATGACTTGGATGAGAAAGTGCAGGGAATGCTTGTCAAATCTGCAGATGATACCAAATTAGGTGGAATAGATAATACCTGAGAAGACAGAAACAAAATTAAAAATGACTTGATAAGATGGAGCACTGGGCTGAAAGCAACAGAATGAAATTCAACAGGGATAAGTGCAAAGTACTGCACATCAGAAAAAGAATCCAATTACCCAGTTACAAGATGGGGGATACCTGGCTCAGCAAAACTAGGAGGGAGAAGGATCTTGGAATTGTCGTAGATCACAAGCTAAATATGAGCCAACAGTGTGATATGGTTACAAAAAAGTCAAATGCTATTTTAGGCTGCATTAATCGAAGTATAGTTTCCAAATCCTGCGAGGTGCTAGTCCCCTTCTATTCAGCACTGGTTAGGCCTCACCCTGAGTACTGCGTCCAGTTCAGGACACCACACTTCAAGAAGGACGCTAACAAATGTTCAGAGGAGGGTGACAAGGGTGATCAGGGGGCTGGAAACCAAGCCTTATGAGGAAAAGCTGAAAGAATTGGGCATGTTTAGTCTTGAGAAAAGAAGACTGAGGGGGGATATGATAGCACTTTTCAAATATTTGAAGGGTTGTTATACAGAGGGGCAAGATCCGTTCTCAATCAGTGCAAGACATGCAACAATGGACTCAAGTTAAAGGAAGCCAGATATATCAGGAAAACTTCATAACTGTTAGAGCAGTACGACAGTGGAACCAATTACCTCAAGAGGGGGTGAGTGCTCCAACATTGGAGGCATTCAATAAAAACTTAGATAATCACCTGATAGATATGCTTTGGTTGTATTCCTGTGTTGACCAGGGGGTTGGCCTTGATGGCCCCTTCCAACTTCACTTTTCTATGATTCTAGAGTAGGCCCAATGAATCACTCAAACTTACATAGGTGCTGACTCACTAAAGCCTCACTGATCTAATAGATCTAGTCTAGTTGTGACTTACTACCAGATTTCAGTTGTTGTGTGGACACTGTATGGACACAGTACTCACCTTATTTATTAAAGCAGAGAAATTTAAGGCAATTTATGCTACTAAAATTTATGAATAAATGAAATTAAAACAGAATACCTGTTCATATTTCCAGAGACATCAATATCATTCATGAAACATTCTATGTTCATTGGCAAATCAGAGGCATTTGCACTCATCAGCTTCTTCAATTTCTCACATTCCTGAGATAATCTCAGCAGTGCACGAATTTTGGACTTTATGTCTAGTTTATATTTCTTCCCAAATTCTTCACAAAAATAATTTACTAATACTTCATCAAATTTTCTGCCACCGAGTACTGTGTCAAATGCCGTTGCCAGAACCTATAACCATAGAAGGAATAAAGTATCTCTGTTAACTATGAAACCAAGGAACAACAACTAGCAATATGAGAGCTTCAAATAAACAGGCTCAAGGCTCTCACTCAAATACAGATTAAAATTACTAGCACAGAAAATATTTTACATCAGGTCATCTACCTTCATGTCATGATGTATCACCCTGGAACAACAGGACAAAAACAGGGGGCTAGATATTTCCAGTGTCCAAGGACATTTCACAGTTACCTCACCAGGAGGAGATGGGCATGCCAAGGCCACAAAGCTGGCTTCATACACACTTCACCTTCTCTAACAGAGAAGGTGAGGAACAATGAAGCACACTCAGATAGCTCTTCTCAAAATTAGGCATTTTCCTACATGGGCTTTTCCATTCAGGCAGCACTTCAGTCAAGACCTGGTCATCATAGTAGGAATGACCACACCTATCGTCACAGGTATGTTCTCACTCATGACAGAGGTGGTTTGTGGGAAGACCCAACTCACCACCCCATCACTGAATTTCAGCAACTACCATATTTAAAGTTAATGTAGTGACAGTTACTTAAAAGTATTGTTATCCTAGTTTGAAATTCTTCACTAAAACGATAGAACCTTCTGAATAGGTGGCTGATAGATTATTGTTAACAGTAGGTCGTACCTATCTTCACATTTTTGTTACAACATATGAATGCTACAACATATTACATATTCTGCCAGTTGGCTCCCTTTTCATAGTTCAAATAAGAACTGAATATTGGCCTTCAGTCTCATGAAAGTGCCCTTTTAAAGTGTCGTATTTTAGGATAGCCTCTGCAAGCTTTTTTTTACAAAGTCAGCTGACATCTTCCTACATACTGCTGCTGAGCTAAAAAATTACATAAAACTAGCATACTGACAACACCGACCTGCCCTCACGTATGGCAACAGATGATGTATAGAAAAAGAGTTACATCTAAAAAAAAACTCTGCAAGTGAAATACACTCAAAAGAGATGGCAAAGAGGTATTTTAAGAAAACTTGTTATGTACCATAAATTTGCTTCTCACTTATGGCATCCAACAGGTTGCTTACCTGTAAATGTAGCTCTTCAAGTGGTCATCTATAACTTCACACATATCGGATCCTTTTTGGTTGTATGAACATCTTTGGAACTTTCTAGAGCTTAAAAAAGCATTAAAACTCACCATCTCCACTGCACAGGTGCCTAACCTTGTATCTAATCTTCAATTCAATTCTCAGTCCACTGCTGAGGTAGATAAAGTCACTGTGTGGCAAAATGAGGGGAGGAGATTTTGTGGTTTCTTTAATTGCTCATGCTACTATAGTATGGTTTAAATTTCTGTAAACTGCCCAGAATAGTGCATGGCACTAATTGGGTGGTACTGTATATTGAATGAATGAATGAACAAATGAATGCATGTATGCATGAATGAATGTATGCTTAGTGGATGGTTTTCTTTCTTTGAGCAAAATTCTGCTTAATTCTGGTGAATTCACCAATTCTACTGCCTTAGTGAGTCTATGACTGAGAAGGGATTTGAACCTTGACCTCCTGAGTCCTAGTCCATCAATCTGTCCACTATATCACACTGGGTATCTTCCAATTCTGAGCCCAAGCAAATAAGGTAATCACGTTCATCCTAATCTTTACTTTGAGGCAAGTGATGGCATGGTGACGAGTGAGTTGTTGAGACTTCAGCAGCAGATGTTTGATGATTATTTGTTTTCTTGGTTTTAGTCATTTTAGTTACGGAGTCTGAATTGGTAGACCTTTTTCTCTTTTTCTGTGCAAAGAGGTTTCAATATAGACTTTGAGGATGAGGGTCTATCTTCAGTACTGAGGATTGGCATTTGTTGGCTAGGTTCTATTTGAGAGAATGTGTCCTCTAGAGCAGTGGTCCCCAACCTTGGGCCTCCAGATGTTCTTGGACCTCAACTCCCAGAAATCCTGGCCAGCAGAGGTGGTGGTGAAGGCTTCTGGGAGTTGTAGTCCAAGAACATCTGGAGGTCCAAGGTTGGGGACCCCTGCTCTACAGCAGGGGTCCCCAACCTTTTTAACCCCATGGACCAGCTAGGGAAGGCGGGGCACCCCCTCGCGCATGCGTGAAGAAGCAAGCACTCTCGCATGGGGGGTGCACTCATGTGTATGCATGAAGGAGAAGGTGTTCGTGCAGGCGCTCACTCGCGTGCTTGCATAAAAATGGGGGTGCGGCACTTGTGCACATGCGCAAACAGTGGCATGGTGCTCGTGCACATGCGCAAAATGGTGGGGGAGTGGTCACGTGGGCGCTGGTGCGCATGCACAAAGGGACTGTGGGGGGGAGGTCTGTCCCAGTGGCCCAGTCCAGCCCGGGGGTTGGGGACCTCTGCTTTAGATCAACCATTCTAAACTTTTTTTGGCTATAACATAGCATGAAAGATAGGCTGAATCAGGATTGTGTAAGTGACATAATGAACCTTATAATGTGGTTTATGATGATTTCCAGTCTGTAGCCCCCTTCAAATGTGCCAGCCCCTACCCCCTCTGGACCATATGCCTCCTGTTGAGAATGACTGTTCTAGAGCTTTTGTGGAGCACCTCCATAAGAAACTTTTTAGGATTTTTTTAATAGATGGACAGTTGAAACTGATGGGGTCTTCTTGGTGATGGTGCAGACTGCCTGAAAAGATTCTACCATAGGTAGAATTTCAAACAGGACCGCCTGTTTCTATTACTACCTTGGTGAATTTATGGCAGATCTGACAGATTTATTTTAGGATGAAAAATCAGTAGAGGGACGGAGAAGAGAAGGCAGTCAAGGTCAAGGTAGGTAAGAACTATATACAAACTGTTAAGAATCTGAGGTCTAGAGAAGCTCCTAGGCTGTTCTCAGTAGCAGCAAAAAGGGAACTGAGGATTAGATAGAGGGTGGGGAGCATGCACAGTGGAGAGGATGCATTTTAATGCATTATTTAGGCTCTGAAGGGTCCCAAAGACATTTGTGCAAGCATGAAAGGAAACCATACCTATGATTCACAGATACTATGAAGAACTTACAGCAATCCTATTAATTAGTGACACCCTAAAAGGTGCTATTATTAACAGTTCTGCAATCCATCTTCCTCTTTTCTTGCTGCCTTCCAAGCATTATTAACTGTTACAAGAAAATCTTATCTTCTCATGATATACCCCCATTATTATAACCACAGTTTAGTCCCTGTTGGTTCTAGGGAGTCCACTCTTGATTTGATCCTAATGTTTACCTATGTGTATTTCAGGTGATCCACAGTATTACATATTTATAATCCTAAACTATCATCATCATCATCATCATCATCATCATCATCATCATCATCATCATATTAGAACTGCAGACTGAAAGGGACTGTATGTATCATCAATGTGTTAATACAAATTTCTCAGGTATAGCATGTTGTATATTGAAATAGCAGAATACATTTCATAATCATTTACCTTCAATTTTCCCTTGTTAAATGCACATACTGATACTTGGTAAGCTGAATGCCCTATGTCAACAAACACCACATTTCGGGGTTTTTCTTCTAATGCAGGGAGGTCTTGTTTATAGATTCCATATGCGAGAGCAACTAGAGAAACAAAGAGTTCAGTCTACTGTAAGTAAAAGCCTTGTTCATATTTTGCTAAGTATACCCTTCAGAAAAAAACAAATCTTTACTATATCCCAACCATTCAACAGAACTTCATGTGGTTCCATACTATAAATGCAAGTCATCACAACATAGAATGCTATACATTGGTGCCCCGCTAGACGCTTACCCCCCATGACGTTGAAATTGCTTACTGATGAGTTTTTTGCAATTGCCATTGGCTCCTATGGGGGAAATCTGCTTTACGTCGATAAGGTGCCTGCTTCGCTAACCGTTTGTTCTCAAAACAATGGTTTTTCCAGCTCCGCAAAATGTCTTCCCTCCCTTCGAAAAATGGCTGTTTTCCGGACCCCTGCTTTTAATCAACCCAACACTTATTTTAAACAGCTGATTGGTGGTTCTCTATAGGTGATCTTCGCTGGATGATGAGGTACAGTGGTGCCTTGCTTAGCAATCACTCCGTTTAGCGACGAAATCATTTAGCGACACTGTTTTTGCGATCGCAAAACTGATCGCTTTGCGATGTTCTCTATGGGGTATTTTCGCTTTGCGATGATCGCAGGGAAGCGATCATCGCAAAGCCCCCATTTTTGCACAGCTGATCGGCAGTTTCAAAATGGCCACCAGGAAAAAAACATGGCCACCCGCTGTGTTTAGGGACGGATTCCTCGCTTTAGAGGCACCGAAAATGGTGGCGCTATGGAGGATCTTCGCTCAACTGTGAGTTTTAAGCCCATAGGAACGCATTGAAGGGGTTTCAATGCGTTTCTATGGGCTTTTTAATATCGCTAAGCGAGGCACCACTGTATTTCCCCACTGGAACGCATTAACCGGTTTTCAATGCATTCCAATTGTGTTTTTTTCCGATTTGACGATGATTTCGCTTAATAGCAATTTTCCTGGAATTGATTATCGTCGTCAAGCGGGGCATCACTGAATATTCTTATTATAGTCTTCTAATCTAACAGAATGCTGTGATACCACCATAACATTCTAAACCTCTTTATAGTTGGTCTCTGATGGATGTTGGAAGTTATGTGCTTTGCAAAATTAAAATAAAAGTATATAATAGAAAGGCTCTTTTCTTAGACCTTGAAGATAAATTAACGTACAGTGGTGCCTCACATAGCAACGATAATCCGTGCAGCAAAAATCACTGCAAAGCGATTTCGTTGCTATGTGAAATAAAAAAGCCCATAGGAATGCGTTAAAACCTGTTTAATGCATTCCTATGAGCTACCTTTAAGCGAAAATCCTCCATACGGCGGCCATTTTGGGTGCCCGGTAAGCGAGGAATCCGTCCCTAAACACAGCGGGCGGCCATGTTTTTTCCCCGACGGCCATTTTGGAACCGCCGATCAGCTGTTTTTAAATCATCGTTTTGCGATGATCGGTAAGCTAGGCAGGGTACCGATCATCGCAAAGCGAAAAAAACCCAATCAGACCATCGCAAAGCGATCGCAAAATCCTCATCGCTATGCGATTTCGTCATTAAACGAGCCGCCCGTTAAGCGAGGTACCACTGTATTCAGAAAGAAGGCATTTTAAGGCCAAAGTGTTGCATGTTCCTGAGCATACAAATGATCTGTTCACACCTACCTGCTCATTATGCACTGATTGTACTGTTGACCATGCCAGAGTAAACCATCATTTTTACACCATAAAAAATAACATTTCTTATTATTCAATGCCAGTGCATCACTTTTCTGTTAAAGCAACTGATCTACAAACTAAGAGCAAGGGTGTCAAATTTCCAGAAATTTTTTAAGTTGTTGGGATAATTTGTTCACTCCTCCAGTTTCCTCCCAGAAAAAAAACTGGAAAAGAGAAGCTAAAATATATGCATGAACTCCCGTGTTATAGACATCCACATTTACTACAAAACATTATCCATCGTTTCTGTCCCTAGGAACCCCCAAAATGTCAAGGATAAGCAAGGGATCACTTCTTCCCCATTCCACTGATGGAAGACTTTCTATGATTGGGAGAAATTAACTGGATACACTTTTAATCAACCCAACACTTATTTTACTGTTTTAACAACATATATTATTTCATAATAACAGGCTGTACTGTTTGACACATTTATGAAATATGCAGAATAATCCCATGCATGCTTACACAAGAGTAAGACATAAACACTAGAGATGTGTCATCTTCCTTCCTTCCTCTTCTCTTCCTCCTTCTTCCTGGACTCCAACTCCCAATACTCTAGAATAATTACCCAAGAAGAATTCAGGGAGTTCTATACCACAAACAATTTTATTCAACTGAGCTGGGATCACACTTGGCCTTGCTCCCTGATTAAAAAAAGGAAGCTGCTCCTGGGATTCCTGAGTGGCGGTCTCACTCTATAAGAGCTTCCCTCAAAGAACTATAACTAGAAATGGGGGTACAGTATTCGTATACAAATGCCACCATCTCTAGTATGACTTGAAGGAAGCACTGCTCCTTTTTTGAACAGGAAACAAGGTCTGAGATAGGCCTTGGCTCAGTTGAGCAATTGTAGGCGCTAGTAGGTGTGGGTCTGAAGGCTGGAACTCCCAGAATTCTGCCTGTGGAATTCTTAGAGAATTTTGGAAGTTACAGTCCAGGAAAGAAAAAGAAAAATGGCACATCACTAATAACTGCCTATGACATATTTTCTTTTCTATATAATTCAAGACAAATTCTTGCTCACTTAGAATCAGTAGTATGAAGACTCTTATGCGGTATCATAAAATAACTCAAGGTTACTTGAAAGACTGTATTTCCCTTCATGAGCTTGCTCAGGTTTTAAAATCTTCAGGGGAGGCCTTTCTCCCCACCTGCCATCCTCATAGGTGTGTTTGGTGAGGGCACAAGGGAAGACCTTCTCTGTTGTTTCCCAAGCTATGGAATTCCCTCCCACAAGAGATTAGGACACTCCCTTCTTTGCTGTCCTTCCACAGGCAGGCAAAAGACTTCTCTTCAGGCAGACTTTGTCTCAGTAACTGGCTGCCTAAGGCAGAGCCCTCTCTATTCCCCTCTCCCCTATTTGTTTTAAAACTGTAAGCTGCTTTAGGTCCACTTAAGAAAGGCAGGGTATAGTTTAAATAAACAATCAGATAAATCCTTGTGTACATGGTAGACACATACAATGCTTAGTTCCAAGAAGCATTAAAATTATGAGAATGTTTCTGCCCAATACAATTATTTTGCATATGATAAAGTTTGTATTCAATCTTAATTATTTTTCTACTTATTTATTACATGTTTTGAATAGCAGAAACTATGGCAGTTTATAGCTCTCATAATACAGGATATATCTGGAATTTTATTTGTAAAAACTAAGGAATTTACGCCTTCGACACATCAATCATATGTGTGTTTACCTGAGAGCAAGCTGAACTAAACACAGTGTACAGTGGTACCTCACTAGACGACCCCGCTAACGATGACGTTTTGCGATCGCTATAGCGATTTGCAAAACAGTGATTTTAATGGGCAATTTTCGCTGGACGTTGATTTGGTCCGTGCTTCGCGGACCGTTTTTTCGCAAGATGACGATTTCTACAGCTGATCGTCGGCTTCGCAAAATGGCTGTACTGTGTTTTCCGGACCCTTACTTCGCAGGACAGCCATTTTTACAGCTGATCGGCGCTCGCAAAATGGCTTCCCTATAGGCAATCTTCGCTAGACGACAAGGTATTTTCCCCACTGGAACGCATTAAACGGGTTTCAATGCATTCCAACTGGGAAACTGTTTTTGCTAGACGATGTCGCTAAACAGCAATTTTCACGGAACAAATTATCGTCGTCATGCAGGGCACCACTGTATTTTATTTTTGTGTAAGACACACTGTGTGCATAGTACTGTTCTGCAAATTCCATAAATATTTCAAACAATATACTCTTTTATGATATAGTGCATTCTTTGGGCTGCATTGCTCCTAATTCCTGAAGTTTCACTGGAAAAAAAATCTGAGAAAAACAGATTTTGAATTATCCTAGGCCTTCACGCACAGACTCATCAAAAGTTGATTATAGTAAATTCATGTATGAATTGTAGAGCAAGTCTATTCAAATTATTCTAGATAAATCTTTATTCATCAAAACTAACATTACAGTAGACCAACATAATAATCAGAATGGTTTAAAATTTATTAGATAAAAAAAATCATGCCCAGTATTCTTTGCAGTTAACTAGCTACCTGCAGTAGTTTCATTAATTAAACGTAAGCAGTTGAGACCAGCTATCTGTGTAGCATCCATCACAGATCTCCGTTCTGCATCTGTATAGAAACATGGAACCTATAAGAAATAAATAAAATTATATTTTTAAAGAGAATATAGCCAAACAGGAAAATAACATTTATTTGAATTAATTTTAAGGTATATTTTCAAATAAGGTATACAGTGGTGCCTCGCTTAGCGGCGTTAATCCGTTCCGGAATAACGTTGCTAAGCGATTTCATCGCTAAACGATATTAAAAAGCCCATAGAAACGCATTAAAACGTGATTAATGTGTTCCTATGGGCTTAAAAACTCACCTTTAAGC